GACCCAGCTCTGCTGCCCACCTGCAGATCTTCATTTGAGCATAATAACCTGCACCCACACCACGGTGAGCCCACCACATCATGCAAGGGTCCTACTACTACCCCAAGCAGCTCCGAGCCTCCTACTCGGCAGCAGAAGGCTCCAGTTGTCATTAAGGCTTCACAGAGCTGTTAGCTACGTGACCAAATAAAGAGACACAGTAATTTACAGCAGTAAGCTGCAATCTCTTTTAAATAAAGAATTATTGCTTCCTCCTTCAGCAAGGACTCCAGTGCGCTGGGCTGGCTCTTCCTTGAAGCACCACAATATCTCACTCGGGACTAAGCAGGAGCATGTAAAAGCAGAAGGTACGCTCAAGAAAGCACTCAAGGAGGGGATGCTGCAACTGAGCACATTGAGCAGACAGTTGCTGCAGCATGGTTTCCTCTGCCTTAACACTCCTTCTCCATCAATCACATCACAACCCAGTGGGATCTTTGCTGTTGCAGAGCATCCACTGAGTTCAGCAAGTCCTGGTGCGGCTGCACCTATAAAACAACGTGGGGAAAAGAGATACCCCCCCAAAACAGGGCTAAAAGTCCGGAAAGGGGGAATACCAACCACGCTGTGTGCGAGAGGCTCCCGATGGCAAGCCTCAAACATCACCTTTACAGCGTTGTCTCCAGCCTCCCGTGCGTGGGTATTATCCGTCCCTGCCGCGTTTCGGATGGGGCCGTGAGCAGGAGGCAGCCGAGCTCAGCTAAGCCCATTGTGTGCACTGGTTTAAAAATAGTGCAAAGGGAACAACTGTGCCCTGCCAGCGTGGGGGACAGCACAGGGAGAGCCTGGGGAAGCGCAGGACAGCGCAGGGAGCAAGGCTTGGTCAGACGGCACAGGAGGGACTCCCGTGCGTGCGCTCCTCATGCAAATCTCAGCTGCGCAGTGCTTGGGAAGGGCAGAAATAGGACAAACCCTTGATGCCAGGACCAAGCCCCTCCCGGACACACGTGGCCCTGGGGCCAGTAGCTCAACTAAAAGGTTTTAAACTACTCTGAAGAGTTTTAGAGCCGAGGCCCCACGAAGCTCCTTACCAAGAGCTAACCAGTAGATGGCAGGCCTGCAAAGCCTGATAAGATCGCCCAAGTTCGTTTTCCTTCAGCGGGAAGAGACGGAATGGTATTTTAAAGACAAATGTTTTTATACTTTAACTACCCTAACAGGATCTATTAGTACAGATGTAGAGATGTTCCAAAGAGTTATGGTGACGGGACTACAATTAGTACACCAAGCCACCCAGATCAGGAAGATCCATTCGAGTCAAAGCTGTTTCTCAAAACCAAATAAAACAGAGCATCTAATAGAGTGCAGATAATTTCTCTGCAGCAATATCCAGCTCATTTTAGGCACCAGCCAAGCCAATTTAGGACTATTCCCATCAACGTGTTTGTTAGGCAGTAAAGGCATCAGAAGCACAAGCATGTACCAGGGCCTGCTTCCAGCTCCCACAGAAAATAAATATCCTATTCCTTCCTTTCATTATTTCTTTCAATAAGGCAATCCCTGCCTCTTGCCCACATCAGTCACCCACCATCCTCATGGCTACGCACCATGGATCCCACCATAACACTTGCAATACAAAATATCATTGTTAAACCTAACAGGACTTTAAATATACCACTTTACATGAGGGATAATCCGAGCTACTCACTCTCAGTGGAGCAAAGCCAGTGCTGAGCAGCGCCAGGCGATGCTCCTGTGTGTAAACAAGAAGAGGAGGGGACCTGTCCCACATCAGCCACAGCCTGAGGACACACGGACACCTCTCCAGGATGTCTCTTGACTGCTTCAGGACAAGACTTGCTGCACAGGCACCATTGCTCAGCGGAGTTTTACATTTGCCTGATTTCAACAACTTCGTGGAAATCCTGTTTTGAATTATTTTGCTCAATCTTATTTTGTTCAGGCCAGAGAAGGCTCCTGAAGGGGAGACCTGAGAGCAGCTCCAGTGCCTGAAGGGGCTTGGGACAAGGGATGTAGGGACAGGCCAAGGGGAATGGCTTTAACCTGCCCGAGGGGAGACTGAGCTGAGCTCTTAGGCAGAAGCTCTTCCCTGTGAGGGTGCTGAGGCGCTGGCACAGGGTGCCCAGAGAAGCTGTGGCTGCCCCATCCCTGGCAGTGTTCAAGGCCAGGTTGGACACAGAGGCTTGGAGCAAGCTGCTCTATGGAAGGGGTCCCTGCCCGTGGCAGGGGTTGGAACTGGATGAGCTTTAAGGTCTTTTCCAACCCAAACCAGTTTGGGATTATATTAACTAAACAGCATTTATAATACATTTAAGCCAATACAGATGATTTTTGACTCAACTCATTTCCATCTCAGTGTGGCAGCTTGTTTCCCTTTACCCTTGCTAATTTCCAAGTGAAAGCAGCTCCTTTCCCCTATTACCCAGCACACCCAGAGGATCTGCAGGAGGGGTTTGCTCACAAGGGCTTGGCTGGGGCTGCAACACCAGGGGTGTCCCAGGCTGCTGCCCTCAGAGTGGTTTGGGGTATCTGCACTCCCGAGAACTGCCAGAGAAGACCCACAATGGGTGGTTTGGTTTTCCTACAGTGCCCAGAAAAGATATTTCTTGACTTTGGCCTCACCACCATGAAATTAGAGCCCTAAGATTACATCCCTGAGGCATTCCAGCTGTAACGAGCAGATTCCAATCCGCATCTGTGGACACAGACTGCAACAAAACCCTTAAAAGCACTGTCATTAGATGGTCAGCTCCAAAGTGTGGGAGATGCTCTCCACATAGCATGGCTTTGAGCTCCTACAAACAAACCCTGTTAAGAAACTTCTCCCTCTTTGCACTGGAGAGAGACAAAACAGCAGCAATTTGCCTTGTGAATTCCCTTCCCCACTTGCCTTTTTGGTGTCTGTTAATCCATATTTAACCTCTGGATTTGGACAATGTGTTTCTGCCATGAAAACAATGGCACATGAGGTTTTACACCCCTTATGGGGGCACCAGCCAAAATGAGCTACACACAAACCCTCACTTGGCCTCCTGGCATCCACCTCCCGCCTTCACACCATTCTTAAAGCAGTAATTTAGAATAAGTTTACTAAACCATAGCACATTATTGCATGCACATGAGCTCTTTTCCTTGGAGAAGAAAACACAGGCTTATGCATGGTCTCACTGTCCATTATTAGTGCTTAACAAGGGGCTTCCCATGCTCTTACATCAAGCTGTCCACTTCAACTACTGCATCAGCCTGCAAGTACTCCACATGGTGCAGCACTCACAGCTCCCAGAGAGATAACCTCCCCTACCTCTAGCACCCAAGGGTGCAGGCTGCTCGAGGATACCCCCACAAGGCACATCAAAGCTGCCACATTACCACTCCCTGTCTGATAAATCCAGACATCAGACTCCCTGCACGCACACAGCCTCCCAAAGCTCACAGGTTATTGTGCTTTTGAAGCACCCAAGGTTAACACTACAACCCTTTATCAGCTTACTTACCTATGAGGAGCACAACCGATCCCATCCATCCCACCTCAATGAGCAAACTTCACACCAGCAGGACGAGACCTCTTCATGCACACAGAAGCTTCTGTCCTTATCACAGCTCTTGAGCACAAGTGAGGAAGAACACCTCTTCACTGTACAACCCCAAGGGGCCATGATCTTGCACAGGCCACCAAATAAATCCTCACTGGGATTATTGCACCCACCTGAGCCAACCCTTCTCTCCCTGATGATCAGCACATGGCACATGGTGTGCCTCTGCCCAGCCTCACTGCTAAGTAAAGGCAACCAAACCCTGATTGTTTCTTACCCAATCTCCCCCTCCACACCTGAATGAATGAATTTTGTGGGTGTTCAGCTGGGGCACATCCCCTTCCCTATGCTTCAGTGTAGCCAGGGAGCTCCTCCAGGGCCTGGTTCTCTGAATCTACAGACCAAAATCTCAGCCAGTGACAAAGGAGGAATTACTCGCCCAGCTTGTTTCTATAAGTCCCAGACAAAGCCCGTTCTACACACAGAACACCCATGCAGCACCCATGCAGTGACCCAGCTTTCAAATCCAGGATGGATGGGGCTTGGAGCAAGCTGTTCTAGTGGAAGGTGTCCCTGCCTGAGGCAGGGGTTGGAGCTGGATGAGCTTTAAGGTCCCTTCCAACACAAACCAGGCTGGGATATTTTGGTTCTAAGGCCAGTGCTGTTGGAAACCCACTAGCCTGGCTCTGTGCAATGCACTGGTACTCAGTGGTGGCATCATGCCCAGGGCTTGTGGTACACACACAACCAAGCCTGCAGAGCCCCCTCCCAACCCCCCCCAGCACACCAAATCACCCGCTGCTATAGACACAGCCACTTTCATCTGGGAAGTCACAGCAAGAAGTATGGCCGTGCAACACTGGATGGAACCACCGGAGCCACCACGTCGTGTCAGCCACAACCCCTGGCAGCCACACAGTGATGTCTCATTTAAAAGGCTCCCAGGCCATGTCTGCAATGTGCAGCTGTAGACCACAGACCAGTCCCCATCCCATCCACAGCAAACCCCAGCCCGCTGGGAAGGGGATGACCCCAGAGTGGTGTCTTGCCAGGGGTGTTAGAGGCTGAGCAGAGCATCAGCATCCCAGCCCTCAAAACGGGGACACGCTTTGGGATGTCCAGCTGGGATGATGGCTCCTGGGATGGGGGGCAGGGATGCTCCAGCTTCTCAGCTATGGGCTTGAGGCACTGACAGAGCATGTGTGGAGTTGTCTTATGAGAATAAATATTACTGCTTAATGTAATTTGAAGTATCAGGTTGAGACATCGCTCAACCTCATTGATTCCCTCAGCTCACATCCTGAGTTGTACATGAAGTATGTGGCTGCCCCATCCCTGGCAGTGTTCAAGGCCAGGCTGGACACAGGAGCTTGGAGCAAGCTGCTCTAGGGGAAGGTGTCCCTGCCCGTGGCAGGGGTTGGAGCTGAATGAGTTTTAAGGTCCCTTCCAACCCAAACCAGGCTGGGATTCTATAAATCTATGATTAACTAATCAGAAAAAGCTTACCAGCAGTTGCTGTGCATCTATCACCCACCTTTTTCCTTTCATCGACACGATATATTGTGTCCATATCCAAAGAGGACTCCGGGAAGCCCCGTGGGCTGTTTTATTCCAGGGATCAGGTCTGATGGGCTCAACGATTCATAGAGGATTGCTGAAGCAGTCATGAGGCCTCTGGAAATCGCAGCTCCCAGGATTTAAGCATTAAAAGGAAGTGTGCTGTTATGTGTAACAAGTGATTATATGGCACTTAAACAGGAAATCAGATGCTTCTTATACTGCAGTACGTTAGGAAAAGAAACACGGTAACGGGCGAGGTGAGAGGTGGTTAATACCATAATGTTTCCCTGTACGCTACTGGTGGAACCATTCTGGGATATTGCATACAATTCCTAGCATATACATACATGAAAATGTCTCTGAAATATATAACGCTGGCGGAAATGTTGCATGAGGGAGTAAAAGATCACTGTCTGAAAGATGATAAATACCGAGCGAGGAGGTGGCTTTCTTCGGATGATCAAACTTGAGGGGATTGTGAGGAGTGGGATTAGGGCGAGAGCCGCTGCTTTACCTGGATTTCCAGATGCTGCAGCTGATTGCAAGAGCCTCCCAGCTTCCCACTGAGACAAAGACACAATTACCAGCCTGCCTGGATACTTTGGTTGGGGTGAAAACACAAGGTGTAAAGGAGAAATGGCACAGGATGGATAAAGAGCGTCTTGCAAGTCGTTGTTTTATTTATGTCCCTTTATTTTGAGCATCTGAGCTTGTCAGATTAAGTTTGAAGACGTTAAAAACAGTGATTAACCTGAGGAGCGTGTGCTGGAGCCCTGAAGCCTCATTGCCTGGATCCCCTGGACCTGGGCTGGGCAAACCACTGGGCTTCCTTCTGCCCAGGCAGCCTGGCACTGGCAAAGGCTCTCAAAGTCATAAAATAAGGGGGTTTCCTTCCCATTTCTATTATACTTTTGCTAATTTGACTTTATCAGGTTAAATAAAGTTAATAGACACCACATGGCCACGTGTGAGCTGTTGGTACCTTTCTCAGGAAAGGGTGATGATGCTGATGCTGCTGATGCTGATGCTGCTGATGATGCTGCTGATGCTTCCTTGCACCCCAATGCAGCACTGGACCCCCACCGTGGCTGGGGCTGTGCTGGGATGATCAGGCCCCCAGGCTGGGAGAGAAAGGCCCAGTCTCCCCTCAAAAGCTCTCTTTAATTGAAGCGCTGTGAGGGCAGTTGTAAAACCCGACAGCTTTACATCCCCATTCTAGAGACAGAAGAGAGGAGTTCCTCATCCACTCTGATCTGATCAATTTTTCCCTTTTTGGTGCATTAAGAGTTGCAGGTAAATCACAGTGTGGTGTTTGAACAGCTTCAGGTGAACCTTACAGGTGTCAGCTGGTGTCTATAAACTGTCCAAGGGTCCTATAAAAGACTGTGAAACAAGAGCAAAGTTAGGAGGTAAATCTATCACTTGTAAACAAAGAAGCCAGAAAAGCATATTTGCAGCATTACTTCCGAGCAGAGCATTCAATGGAGACCTGCAGGTAGCAAAATCCTTCTGGGACTGTGACTATTCAAGGAGCACTAATGAATTAGATTAAATATCCCCCAACTTCTTGCTTTCTGGGATCTGGGATGCCGTGGTGTCAGCTCCAGTTCTGTGCTGATGCCCTAGAACAGGGCAGAGGGGGGTGTTTTCAAATACATGTCTTCTTTTCTGCCTAGATTTCACAGCTATTACACTAATACAGAAGCAGTAAATAATGAAGCTCTTACTTATGCCTTCTATAAATTCTGTTAGTAAAAGAGTGGTTAATCATATGTACCTTTAAATAGCTGAGCATCTGATGGTGAAGTCAATTCAATCAGCAAAACACAACATTTGCTTACCAGTAACACACAGAGATAAGCAGATTTGGGCCATAATTCCACCCAAAACGAAGCAGACAAATAAACCCACACTGAAATCTATTATTTAGTGGGTTCAGAACGCATCTCGGCAGGTCTATGAGGTGCTGACGCTTGGGACCACTCATTTAACCTCAAAAGGAACCAAGGCCCGCAGCATATTTTAACTCATTTCCTGCTCTATTTGCTGTTTGCGTTCGGCCAAAGTTCATTTTTCATAACGCTGCTCTAACAGCAACACTGTCCTCTTGTAGGATTTAAGCTATAAAAACATGGACGATGAATGGAAACAAACAGCAAGATATGCCTGGGTGTGCTCCTGCTTTGGCTTTCTGGCTGCAAAGCACAGTGCCTGATCCACTATGACTCAGAACTTCGCATGCTATAGCAGGGACAGGGATGAGGCGTTAAAGGCTCTGCGTATCCAAGTCCCAACATAAACCGTTGCAGGGATGCTGGGCAGAGAGCAGGAACAGGAGCAAGGAGAAGGAATGATCTGTGGGATTGCCAAGCACATCACCTCTAAATCAGCTTTTGGTGGGCGCAGGTGGGATAGGAACTTGCTCAAAGGGGTCGAAACCCTTGACTTTAAGGTCCCTTCCAACTTTGACCATTCCCTGATTCTATGATTACTTGGAAACGTTCACAGTATTTTCCCCTTGTAAATTCTCCTTCACATCGAATCCCAGCCTGGTTTGAGTCAAAGGGACCTTAAACCTCATCCAGCTCCAGGCCCTGCCACAGCCAGGGACACCTTCCACTAGAGCAGCTTGCTCCAAACCCCGTCCAACCCGGCCTTGAACACTGCCAGGGATGGGGCAGCCACATACTTCATGTACAGCTCATGATGAGAGCTGAGGGAACCAACTAAGATACAGGTTTGGGAAAAGCTGCTTTATATTTATGATTCACATCCTCTGCTAGGACAAGAGCGCAGTAAGTGCACGTAATTGAAGCAGATAACTCCAACTTACTCTGCCTGCAAGTGTATTGCCAGGCACATACATCTTGATTAGGCCGTTTGCCTTTTAAAAAGGAAGCGTTCTTGGATCGTGGTGCCTGAGATCATTTCCAGCAGCGTCTGCTCATGGAACGCTCCGCTCGCGGTGTTTGAATTCAGTTATTCTCTTTGCTGCTGTTTGTTTGGGTTTTTTTCTGACGCTCCCGTTTTCCTCCCTCCTCCAGCCGTCTCCATCAGCAGGTCGCAGCACTTTTTGCACTAGCAAACAGGCCCAGAGGCAAGCGTTCCCTGTCGCTGCTGGTTCTTGTTTGAATTCCTGATGTGGAGGGAGAGGCGGCTGCCTCACAGGGCTCCCTGCCCGCTGGGGAGGTAGCTGTGGTCCTGGCTGGTGTGGTCCCCTATGAACGCTGCTGCCACAGCTCCTCTTGAACCGCTGGCCGCACAGTAGGTGACCTCCCACCCCACAACCCTGCTTCCCCATGGTCCTGAGCCAGGGGACTGGAGCCTGTGCACAAAGACAGTTCCTTAAGGAAGGGGCCACTGCTCCAGTCAATGTCCTCTTACATCCCTGACACTTCCCACTACAGTATTTAACCTCCAGCGCTGTGTGCTGTTGATTCAAAAGGCTGGAGCAGAACCCAGCCTTCTTCTCCAAAGAGCACAGCGGGCATGTGGAAAATACATGATGTTTTTACATTATAAAAAGTGGATTGGGGATGCTCCTTGCAACAGAAGGGTGGCACAATCAGTATCACAGAATCCCAGCCTGGTTTGGGTTGGAAAGGGCCTTAAAGCTTACCCAGCTCCAACCCCTGCCATGGGCAGGGACCCCTTCCACTAGAGCAGCTTGCTCCAAGCCCCTGTGTCCAACCTGGCCTTGAACACTGCCAGGGATGGGGCAGCCACAGCTTCTCTGGGCACCCTGTGCCAGCGCCTCAGCACCCTCCCAGGGAAGAGCTTCTGCCTAAGAGCTCATCTCAGTCTCCCCTCTGGCAGGTTCAAGCCATTCCCCTTGGCCTATCCCTACATCCCTTGTCCCAAGCCCCTCTCCAGCTTTCCTGCAGCCCCTTCAGGCACTGGAGCTGCTCTCAGGTCTCCCCTTCAGGAGCCTTCTCTTCTCCAGGCTGCCCCAGCCCAGCTCTCTCAGCCTGGCTCCAGAGCAGAGCTGCTCCAGCCCTCGCAGCATCTCCATGGCCTCCCCTGCACTTGCTCAAGCAGGTCCACATCCCTTCTGTGCTGGATGTCTCACGATGCTGACTTCACAAAACCCACAAAGACCTTTTCCTTCTCTCCAGGCAGGAGCACTTCTAAAAACGTGTGTGTTTTTCACAGCTTTTCAGCTGTGTTTTCTCACAGCATCAGCTCTGAACCTATCCCTGAAATGAGCCCCCATGAACTGAGCTTTACGAACCCATGCAATCGGTGTACTGGAAAACAATTAATGTCCCACTCCTGGTACGTTACTCCTGGGAGAATTCCTGAGGCCACCGTCAGGGTTTCCAACTGGATCACCAGATCCAGGTCCTCTCTCCATGAAACACCTTCCACTGGACTCCAAGCTGAAGCACCTCCACTGACCAGACCTGCAATGGGGACACACCAGGGCACTGGAGAGCAGGACAAGCATTGTATTGTCTTCTCTATATCTAACGCCACATTTAAACACCTCCAGAACATCTGGACAGCTGTTTCCCAAGCCATCACCCTGGTGCAAGCAGCAGCAGGGCTTGTCCATGGGTAAACACAGCAGAAGCAACCCTGTGTGAGGTCCCAGTGTTCCATACAAGGAAGGTGGACCAGGGTAGTGTTGGCCACAGCCACCATCCCCATACCCACTCCAGATACAGGTCAGATGCTCCCAAATCCCTGGGGATGGGCTCCTCTGTTGACGTGGAATTAAAGTGAATTAAAACCCAACTGGAAAGTAGCTGCTGTCAGGACCTAATGCTGAATATTACTTGAATTAATAACCAGGGTCAGCACTGATAGACTTATTTCTTTATAGAAATGGAGCTCCATTCCCAAACTGTGCCTTCACTTCACTGCAGGAACCTGCCTGACTTGGCAGCTGCTACTTTCTTCCTAAATACCTTCACATCTTGTAAACTTAAATCACTTACAAAGACGTCTCATCACTAGAGAGCATCCCTGTAGCACCGAGCTTGCTTATCGCAGCGGTTGTCCCCTCCTGGAGGATTAAGCAGCGCTGCAGGAGTTCTGGACTGGGCTGGCAGAGGGAGGAAGGGAAGAGCAGGAATAACCCAAACACGGTTTATCCCGGGTTCTTTGTGCGCTGCCCCGCCACACAAGCTTCCAGATCCGATGTCCGAGGAGCTGGGAAGTTCTTGGAAGCTCCATCCCGGGAGCGGGGAGCGTTGGATGTGAACTCCAATAGTCCGGTACTTTCGAAACACGCGGTTTCTGCCCCGCAGCGGCCGGAGGCGAGGGGGGGCTGCGGCCCCACCGGACAAACTGTTGCGTTCCGAACGCGTTTTGCTCACCCGCCGATCCGCGGCAGCGCAACCGGCCGCGGGGCTCCCCCCCTCCCCATCGCTTCAGCTCCCCTCCGGGTTTTTCGGGGTGTCCCATCGGGGGAGGGGGGGGGGTCGGGTTCCCCCCCCCCCTCCTCCCGCCTCCCTCCCGCACAGCGCGGAGGGGGGGGGGGGCGCTTGCGCACTGCTGCGCGCCGCGCAGCGCAGAGCCTCGGCGAGGCTGCGCAGCGGGTAAGTGGTGTCTGAAAGCGCGCAGGGCACACGCACACCCCGCCGCCTTACCCCTCCCCCCTTTCCCCCCCCCCCCCCCCCCCCCGTCCTCAATAAACGCTCCCCTTTTCCCACGGAAAACCTCTCCCCGGCTTCATTAGCCGCGCAAGGTAAGCGCCAGCGTCCGCGGGGGGGGGGGTGGCGCGGAAGGAGCGCGGGCGGGTGGCGGAGCGCCCGCTTACCTGGGACGAGCCGTGCGCGCCGCACCGCGCGTCTGCGCGCCCCGCTGAGCACCCCGCACGGCTCCTACCTCGCAGTTCCTTGCCGACGGCGTGCAGGGAGCGCGGCGGGCGCTGCTCTACGCGGCGCTGCGCGGGGTCTCGGCGGCTATTCCCTCGGCAGAGCATGGAAGGGGAAGAGCCGGGCTTGTGCCGGAGCCGGCGCTGCGAGGTGCCCGGGCTGGAAGGCAGGAAGCAATTAAAACTCCTCCTTTCGGATTAACAACCAAAAATTGATCGATCTGTCAGGAATAGTGCTGATTTATGAAAGGTGCTTATTTCCTTGGTATGGGGAATTTTATGTTCTCTAGGTGAAACTGAGTTCACCCAGCTCCGGAGTAGATTGATGTTTTAATAAAAATAAATAAAGGGGGGGGGGGGGGAAAGCTCCCCGGGTCTTTGGGGACATCAACTCTCAAATCGCGGAGTTAGACTAACAAATCAAACCGCATTATCTCCCCGTTTCACCTCTTGCGTTCCCCCCCCCCCTTGAACCTCACGCCTCCAAACCGCATCTTTTGTCACCCGCAAAGTTTCCACGCGGCGTTCGAAAGTTCAAGGGGCGAGAAGCCCGGTGCTCCCCCGCGGGCGGTGCGCGGCCACCCGCGCAGTGTCCTGTAGATGGCACACGGCACCCGCGCAGAGCCGGGGACCCGCCGAGGGAACCATCCGTCCCCGCACTTGTTGTTCACCGGGATCACGGCGCGTTCCTCCGCCGGGCGCTCGGGAATTCAGTGGGAATTCTAAGGCGCGGGGTGAGCCCGAACAGCTCCAGCGCGGAATTTCCGCGCTTTGGAAGCGTTGGGCGGTTGCCGGTCTTTGCAATGTAAATAGCGGCGGGACAAATTGCTTATTAATAGTCTGGAAGGGGAGGCTGCGTCCTTCTTTCTTGTGTTCTTTGGCTGGTTTTATTTCGGCACGGCCCCCAGCTATGCCCAGGGCAGCTTCGCCGTCCGGCAGCTTTTCATTTCAATATCCTAAAGGAAATGCAAATGCAACGCGCCGCGGCCTTTTGGAAAGGGGGGAGAATGTATGAAAAAGTTAAATTAGCAACAGCTTTAAGTGCCTCCATTAGCATGGAAAACATACAGATGTGGAGCGAGGGAACCGCCGGCCCCGCCGGCCGCGGGGTGCTCAGAGCGGGGTCCCCCCCCGGTGAGGCTCGGCCGTGATTTGCGCCCGCTCCCACGGTCGAAAGGCCGCTTGCAGGGAAACGGCGGGGCAAGAGGGGGGTGTTCTGTGTGTGTCCCACCCGGAGGGAGGCGAACTCCGGGTGCCCCCCTCCCGCAGCACCGTGCCCGGAACCCCCCGCTGCCCTCCGCGGCCCTTGTTACAGCGGGAAGTTCCGCTCCGCGGTGCGGCTGCGGACCCCGTTCCGCGGTTCTCCGAGGTTCTCCGCCCCAGCTCTGGGGGTTTCCCCCCTTGTGCTGGCCGAGGATGCGAGCGAATCCCTGCAGGGCAGCGCCTCGGCCCCTGAAAGAGTTAAGGTGGATTTTATTCAGCGGAGGTCTTGTCAGGATGTAATCTGCATTTTCTAACTACGGCGTAATAAAAAGTGAGAAGTTTGGAGACACCTTTCTTGATTATACCTTTGGCGATACTTTAGGTTTTACATTTAATTTGCATTTTGTTCTTAGTGAATATTGAAGTCTTGAGTGGAGGATTGAATTTTATTAGGACATCTGGACTGACAATATCAAATCAGACACCGACGTCCCAAAGCATGCTAAAATTTCAGAGTTAATTAGAACGAAGTGTGTTTAATTAAAGCCAATTATAATATCTGAAATTATCTGATCGATCCTTGTTTGTTCAGTTGGACTCAGTTTATATTGTTCTTGCTGCACCATAGGACCCGTCCGGCCGTCAACTCCCCGGCTGCCCGCCCGCGCCCATTCCGCGCCTCACCGCGGGGCGGCCCGGGGCTGGTGGGGACCAGAGGCTTCCCCAGGTCCCTCCTCACGGGGCCCGGGGAGAGGGGAAGGGGCGGTCGAGGCAGCGGCCTCCCGGAGCCCCTTCGCGAGCGCAGCGCCGGGCCGCGCCGTCGGACAAGTGGGAGCCGGGTGCGGGGCCGCTGGGGGTTCTCCGTGCCGAGGGAAGGCTCTTGCCGGGGCTGGATGCGGGTCCGGGAACGTTTTAGCCTTTTTTTTTCTATATATATATATATATGTGTGTGTGTATATATATATACATATGTTTTAAAAGAGTACTAATTCTTGATTTAACAATATCGGGGCACCGGACGGTGAAATCCCGCCCGCAGCAGCGCAGGACCAATCTCCCGTTTGAGCAAAACACCCCTGCACCGACGCGCAGTTTCTCTACTCCGAGGCGCCTGCACCACCTCGCCGCGCAGCCTGGCCGCGGGCCGCGCAGGGCAGCGCAAAGTGCGCCTGCGGCCGACCTCGGGGCCTCAGGGCAGGGGAAGAGACACCCCCTTTCCACCCCCTCATCGCCCTGCTCCGCCCTCGAGGAGCCGCGGCGGGGCGCGGAGAGGGTGACCCGCCTGCCCTGCGCGGCCGCGGAGCTCCGCGGGGCGGGCAGTGTCCGTTCCGCACCGCTGTCCCCGTTCGTTTCCCTTCCCCGGGCCCGGGGTGCTCAGGAATTTGCGTTCGAGCACCGAACCGAGCCGGGGCTCAAGCACAGAAGGGCGGGCGGCGGGGGCCGGCGAGCGGGGCCGGAGCACACGGCGGGGGGGACTCGCCCGCACACCGGGCCCGTTGCGGAGCCCTTCGCTAGCGCAGGAGGGTGGCCGCGAGCCCCGAAACCTCTTCGGCAGCGCCTGAACCCCGCCGAGGGTTCGGCCTCGGCACGGCCGCCGCTCCGCCGTGCGCGCAGGCTGCGCGCCCCCCGCGCAAATCAGGGTCAGGCCTTCCATGGCTTTGCGCCTCTGCGGTAATGACCGCCCTCCCCCGTGGGTTTAACCCGCCTGCGGCCAAACCCCACCGGACAGCGCGGCCGCGGTCCTGAGCATCGCTGCACTGAAAATCCCCGAAAATACCGATTTTGTCCGCTCCGCAGCGCGGACGGTGGGAACCTGGCAGGGGAGGGTTGGTCCGGTCCAACCGGACACCAATGACCCCCCCCGGGACCGAGTGCGGCGGCAGTGCCGGTGCCTCTAAACGATAAAACTGGGCTATGAACCTCCGCGGGCTTGCGCAGCGGGCAGCGGAGGCTGGCGGAGGGCAGGACCGGGCCTTGCCCTGCGCAACTTTCCGCTAGGAAAGTTTGTGCTGCGGGAACCGCTCCTGGGGTTGAGGGGTGTGCGGGGCAAGGGAAACCCCGACCAGCGGCCCATGTGGATCGGTTAATGCGGGCTGGAAGTTCTGCGGTTTAAGGGTGAAATGGGAAATTAGAGGAATAAATAATAATAATAATAATTATTATTACGCTAATAGTCTCGGGGGCTGATATAAAATAATAAATAAAATAATAAAGTTTAGGAGACTCCCACGGCAGCGAGGGGACGAGGAGATCCGTTTAAATCTGCCCAGCGTGTCATTAGGTGTCATTGCGCGGCATGGAGGGAGGAAGGGGGAGGCGTGATTTACCGCGGGCGCGGAGGTCCCGCGGCCCGGGGGATAGTGTGTGTGTGTGGGGGGGGTAATGTCGCGGAGGGGGGGACGGGGACGGGGACGGGACAGCTGGGCTGCGGCCATCTGAGCGGCCTGGCCGCGACATCTGGGAGCCCAGTGGCGTGTGGCACGCGAGTCGCTTGATGTCGCTATTTAAATGCAAATTTGCGGGGGGATCACTGGAGCCTCACCCCGTAAATTCACACAAAAGGGAGACTTGGAGGAGGAGGAGGAGGAGGAGGGAGGAGAAGGGAGGAGGAGGAGGCCCCGGCTCTGCTGTGTGTGTCCCCCCCCTTCACCACCACCTCCGCCCGCCCGGCGCCGGCCCCGCTCCCGCCGGCTCCCGCGTAAGGTGCCGCGGCGGCGGCCGGGCCCCCTCGGAGCGCTCCGCGGCGGCCGCTTCCCGCTGTTGCGTCCACACCGGGCCCTGCTCCGCTCTCAGCCCCAGAAAAGGCGTTGGGGGGGGGCGGTTTTCCCTGCGGGACGGCCGGCGCGGAGAGATGCGGAAGGGGTGCGGAGCGGGCGGGCTGCCGGGAGCCAGGCGCGGAGTGACAGAAAGAAAAAAAGGGGGGGGGAAGGAAAAAAAACCCTAAAGTTGGTGAATGATAAAGACCGTATTTTCCACGCTTTGGGTGCAGGACCAGATGATGTAGAAAATGAGCTGCAATAGATTCAGCCTCTGAGCCTGTTGTGAAGAGCAGCTGATTCCCCCGTCCCCGGCCAGATGGCTTCTGAACACAGATTTGCATTCATTTTCGCTTAATATCGTCCAAAATAGCGGGGCAGCTGCATTTGTTGTCAAAAAGGTTTAAAACTCCCTTTCTTTCTGGGGCAGGATCGTTACCTTATGTGATGGGCTTATGGAACTTTCCTTTTTTCACCACCCACCCCCCCCCCCCTTCTCTTATATTTTTTTCCCTCCTTAGTCAACAGTATCAGATTTAAAAGGATTTGTTTTAAAACCTCCTAATTTGGTAATCAGATTTAAATCGCCTGGGCGCGTGTAATCTGAATTAAAGATACTGTAAATGATTTTAAGCATTCGTTAGCGGAGGGAAGCGCCGACTTCGGCACCGTTTTGGGGCTGTTGAGGGAAAATCTCTTCTCATTTCAACGTTTCGGGGCTGTTTTACCTCGGGTTTACGGGAGGCGGATGTTGCGCGGAGGGGTGCGCAGCGCCCGGCGGAGGTCCCGACATGTCTGCGCGCCTCCGAAAGCGTTGTGCGGGAACTTTGGTCTGCCCGTTCCTGCGCGGTGGAGGTGTTTGGGGCTGGAATCCGCAATCCTGGACCTCCAAAGCGGCGGGCTGGTTGTGAACAGGCGGAATTTGCTTTTAATTTATCACGACTAGTTTCCATACACTTTGATTTAAGGTTATTAACATTCTATAGACAGTGGCATCTTTAATATGTGGCGATCGCTTCTAAAGACTAATCTCATTACCCTCAAATAGTCATAAAATATGATTTTATTATACTTACGTATTTAATTAGACGGCCAGCAATGTAATGGATTTTGAGATCGGGTAGAGCAACAGCTTTGATAATTCACTTATCTTTGGCAATAGTCATTAACCCCCAACACCAGCAAAATAGATTGCTTTCTAACACATCTTTTTCCCTTTTTTTTTCCTTCCTTTCTCCTCCTTACCCCTTGGAGAAGGGATCGGGGGGTCTCCTCCTGGCACGGAGTTGGGCTTTCCAGGGCTTCATTACAACGGGAATGCACCGACCTTTGGCAGCTCCCAGATAATAATAATAATAATAATAATAATAACAATAGTAGTAGTAATAATCATAATAAAATAAGGGAATAAAAGCAGGGATTGAGCCACGCTGGGTGGAAAAAGTGCATCACTCGAGGCGGATATAGAGCGATATATCTAGATATATAGATTAATATCTATAGATAAGTATTTAGATATATAGGTTTCTATAGATATGTATTTAGATATAGATATATATGTACATATATCTAGATATATAGATAGGTAGGTAGTTAGATAAATATATACACATATATCTAGATGTATAGGTAGATAGACATATAGATATATAGGCATATAAATATATAGATATATTACATATATGGACAAGGCAGACTTATAGCTGTGCTATACCCGCACGAAGACTTCACCCACCCGTATCCACGTGCGTGGATATATATATGTAATAAATATATATATATTTATGTGTGTATATGTCTATACCTGCCCGTGAGGGGGTGCTGCGCGCCTCGCACCCTTTGTGTGTGCCCCCCAAAACTCAACTCCTCTGTCCCAGACACCCTTCCAGGGGGGTCACCTCTCCCCGCACATGGAGGGTGTGGGGGTCACTGATGGTCCAGGGCTTTGAAGAGGAGAACTGGGATACCGACAGCGCGCTCCCGACCGGACCCGGGTCGTCCCCCCCCAGCCCATTCAGGGATGTGGAAGAGGGGGGGGACACGACCCAAGTCCGGTCGGGAGCGCGCCGGCGCCCGCCTTCAAACCCCCCCTTTACTCCATATATGGCTCTAATCCCGCCCGCTGGCGACGTCATCAGTGACGCCACGTCTCCCGCGGCGGCGGGGGCCCGGCTCCCGGGGCAGGGCGCGCTCCTCGGGGAGGGAGGGCCGGGCTCTGCGCGCCTCCGTCCATTCCGCGTAGACGCCGCGGGCCCGCGCCCCTGTTCCTCCCGTGTGCCCGGGAACACCTCCGCGGTAATCAAGCGGGTGCGTTTTTTTCCGTGCCTCCCTCCCCGTTTATTTGTCTTTTGGAGCAGGAGCGCTTTGCCAGAAAGTGGTCGATTCAGCAGTGTCCTGAAGCGGTTTTTTTTTTTTTTTTTAAAAAATTATTCTTTTATTTTTTATTTATTTATTTTTCCTCCTCTCCGCGCTTTTCCTTAGGATGCCACCACGTTGAGAGCGCGTCTGCAAACAACAACAACAACATTTATCCCGTTTTTCTCCCCCCCTCCCCCCAAACCACCACCCCGGTGTCAGCGGCTGCACTTACTTTTTTTTCCTTTTTTTTTTTTTTTTCCCCCTTTCCCCCCCCCCTTTTCTTTTTTTTTGTGTTATTTTTCCGAACCCACCGCACTGGAACGCCGTCCAAGTCGCCGCACAGAAGTACTCAGTAAATTGTTTATGTCGTGCCAATACAGGACAGAGTGAAGAAGGAAGCAAGACTTGAACTGGGCTTTTCTCCTACTGCTCACAGGGAGTAAAGTCATCTCTTATACCCCCAAGTCGCCACGGAGAGAGAGAGAAAAATCAAGCAACAACCAACCCACCCCGTTTATCTGACATTTCCCTCCGTTTTAACCCCTTTTGGTTAGGAGCTGGGGTTTGCCCAAATTTGTTTTAATGTTTGGGATTCAGGAAAATATACCACGAGGCGGGACGACCATGAAGGAGGAGCCGCTGGGCAGCGGGATGAACCCGGTCCGCTCCTGGATGCACACCGCCGGGGTGGTGGACGCCAACACGGCCGCCCAAAGGTACGGCTGCCAACCCCTCTCCCGCCGCTTTTCTCCTCCCGTATTTCTCATCCCGGCCGTAAATTCCCCCCCTCAACCACCACCCCACCCCACCCCCGCCCGCCCCGTTAGCACTTACAGCCTCCCCGCTCCGCTCTCCGCGGGCGCGGAGCTTGCGCGCCCCTTCCCGCCGCTCTCACCCACGCCTTGTCTTGTTTTCTCCCGCAGCGGCGTGGGGCTGGCTCGGGCACATTTCGAGAAACAGCCGCCTTCCAATCTCAGAAAATCCAATTTTTTCCACTTCGTCTTAGCTCTGTACGACAGGCAGGGGCAGCCGGTGGAGATTGAGCGAACGGCTTTTGTGGACTTTGTGGAGAAAGAGAAAGTAAGTCCGCCTCTATCCCTATTTCTCCTTCAGTTTTCCCCCCTTCCAAAGCCTTTCAGCGCGGGTTAATTGATGCCTGTTCATTCCCGCTGCCCCCCCGGGTTATAGCGGCCGCTCCGAACAAACCCGGGTTCAGCAACTCCCCGGCTCGTTTTAACGCCGGGAAAACCCGGGTTTAAGCGTGACATATTCGCACCGAGCTCATGACATCATCACCGCTCCACCAAAAAAAGTGACCGTGGGCCGAATATTCTGCAACTCTCTTAATTCTGAGCCGCTTCAGGGATGAGAAAGCGAAATAAAACGCGCGGCAGGAGGAGGAGGAGGGGGATATTTTTCCATGCTAAATGTAATTATTTATCGTTGCTTGCAGGAGCCAAACAATGAAAAAACTAACAATGGGATTCATTATAAACTTCAGTTATTGTATAGCAACGGTAAGTGGCCGCTGTCTCCGTTTCGAACGTCCGCAGCAAAGTCTCACTTTTCTTATCCGAGGCCTTTTGGATGTAAAGCTGTCGAGATTAAAATTGCACGCGGGTAAACACGGCGCTTTACCGCGGCACCGAAGGAAAACAAACCAGAACCGATCGATAAGTCGATGGTACTTCACATGATGAACCGGCCGGGCTTGGAGTGGGAAGGAAAAGGGGATCGATGGGGGAGCTCCCGCCGAGCCGCACTTTTCGGGGACTTCTTATTTTGATTTTTCGTCCCACTTTTGGGCCATGAATGGGAACGACGGGGCTGGGAAGAGCGGGCAGAGCAGGCAGAGCCCGAGCTCGGCCCGCTGGGGTTACGCGACCGCGGCCCCCTGCGCCTATCCCCTGTGCCCCGCAGCGAGCCTGGCCCGGGGGGTGCTCCAGAGGGCCTCCGGAGGGGCCGGAACGCGGTCACCGGCCCATCGCTGGCCTTTGGGGTCCTTATTAAATGTATTTGTAATTTAGACTAGAGTAGCGCTTAATTCGGGGTGCCCCTGACCCTGCTGTGACTCGGGTGGGTGCTGCTGATCTCTGACGGCGTTTCTCTCCCCTCCTCAGGCGTCAGGACGGAGCAGGACCTCTACGTTCGCCTCATAGACTCCATGACCAAACAGGTGAGAAAGTTTCCGCTTCTCTTCCCTTCCTAACTTTGTCGTTTCCCCTTGGTGAGGGGCGTGGGAAGCCGGTAACTTGCACCTACTTGTAACTGACCGGTGTAATTCCTCCTACACCTGGAGGGCATTACCCAAGCCAGAAAAGCTGTGTGCTTGCTACTCGAGGAAGCCTTGGCATCGTTTGGTAGTGTGTGTTTTCGGTAGTGTGGCGTTACAACGGCGTGTGAACAGATGTTGGGTAGAATTCATTTAGCGAGGGCGAGAGGGAAGGAAAAAAGGAGGAGAAAAAGAATCCCCAACAGCATTGTGGTGCTCAGGTTTATTTCTAAAAGCAGTTTCCTCCCCTCGCCGTGTAACTTTTGGGGTGATATTTCCCCGGGTGGACGAGGGGAGGGCGGCCGCCATGAGCCCCTTTTCCATGCTGCAGGACAGCGAAGGCGTTTATTTGGATTTAAAAGTGAAATGCACCGAGGTGAAAAGTCACCTTGTTCTCCTCTGGTCCACAGTCACCTCTCAGCCCCCCATCTCCATAATTCAAACTCCGTGCTCCAGGGGTCACCCGAACCCGTCCCTTTCCCTGGGATCAGCTCCTG